ATATATATATATATAGCATCCACACACACACACACACACACATTGTGCAACACAAACACAAAAATCTCTTCACTACAGAAAAATACCAGTGTGTTCCTTTATAATCATCTATTTCCTTTATGAAAAAAATTTAATTCTGTTGCAGCTGAGACTATCCTTTCAAGAAATTAGTAAAAAAAAATAATTAGCCAATATTCCTGTAACTCTGCTAATTATATACTATTTAAGGGGAGGGGAGTTGCTTCTGTCCACTGAAAATATAAATAATTTACCTTGGATTGGTGTGAAATAAATCATTCTTGAAAATCTTATTTCCTTCATGAGGAACAGAATTTTTTCTACTAAAGTTTCTCTTTTTATGTTCCTATTTTTAAAATAAATTCTTTTCTTTCAATTGATACCAACCAAATTTGCATATCAGCATCTGGGTCATTTATTTAAGGAAAGGACAACCACAAAAAACTCCCACTGTCACAAATAACATGTTTCAAAAAATGTTCCTCCATGATACCAAAAAATAAACCCCCAAAACCTCTCATTATCATCTAGTCCTCCTGGAAAAAGCAAATACAATTCTCAACATTATGTTATCATAAGTATAAAAGGGGCAATAAGTCAAAGATATTCAATTTGCCTGGAAAGGGGCTAGAAAACACGAAAGGAGATTTTGAAATAAAAATCCATTCCACTACAAAAATTTGCTCATGAAACTGAAATAAGCACATACATCGTCTTACAGTATTTTGAGGTAAACAGAAAGTGAAATATAAACAATTTACTTGCTTCAAAGACTCAGAAAGACAGCCAGATTTACCTTTTGTTTTTCTAAATTAAATCTTGATTGTTGAAAGTATTACATAGATCTCCTTTTTTCCCCTTAGCTTGTATTTTTTAAAGAGACTTTCCCTGTGGCAATTCTTTGGAAGAAATGGGTGTGTAAATTTACAAAACATAATACGAGATTCAAATTCATTAATTCCTTCAACATATAAGTGCGTTTCTGTGCCAAAAAGTGCACAAAGCACCGGGCACATGTACGCTGTTCTCGTCTTATATATAGTTTTCATGTGTCCCAGTTACTGAGTATCTACTAGGAACCAGATGCTGGGGACACGACAGCAAAGAGGAGACAGACACATGGCCCCTACCTGCACGCAGTGTCCACTGTAGAAAGAGGGAAATGCCTCAAGGATGAGCCATCATCTAACGAAACAAGGACAGGAACACTCAGGTGAGTGCTCCGTGTGCTGCTGATGGACGTGTGGAGGGCCCGGGAGGACACAAACAAGGGAGGGAGGGATCCCGGACAGGAGGGAGGGGAAGGCAGAGCTTCCGGATCGGCGGTGACAGGAGAGCCGAGGCCTCCTGGAGGATTAGGTGTTCACCTGGCCGACCTTGGGGGCAGGGCTCCGCGCACAGGGAGCAGCTGGAGCAGAGGCTCGGGAAGCCCGGGATACAGACCGTGAGCCCGGCCGTGGAGGCTCCCGGCGCCACAGTCAGGACTGGCCTGTACTGGCATTTAGGAAAAGCCCCCGAAGTTTTTTCTTTCAGAACACCAGCTTGTGTGATCAGGTTTTTCTGGTGTCCTGAGACACTGGTTTACACAGGAATGAGAAAAGAATAACACTAGGTAATGATGTCACCATGAAACAACAAAGGAGCCTGCCCAATTAGAAAACTAACCCCCCCCCCCCCCCGGAAAAAAAAAAATAAGCCACTTAACTCTGCAAGTCCTTCTGGGGGAAAAAGTTTTAACCAACATCACTTAAAACCGAAGAAGCGGAGGAAAGGTTTGTTTGTATATATTATGAATAATAACATCGACATATCTACCTGGCGTTCTCTCCAGAGGGCACAGCTCTTTATTAATTGTGGAAACACACCAGGGGGTGCTGACTGTGGTCCAAAAAGCACTGAAACTCTTCAGAAGAAAGTCTTTGGTACCAAGGGGGAACCACGAGGAACAGAAGGTATGTTTCAAGTCACGTGTAAAGGTTCCCAAAGTTCAAGAGAACCAAGTTTTATTAAGTCAAAGCGTTTCAAAGGTGTCACGGGGTGGAGCCAAGGAGGAGGGGTTTAAAACTTAATTAAAAAAAATATGTCAACAACTAACTCTTAAAAAAACAAACAAACCAACCACCACCAAGTACCTCTTGGTCCGAGGGGACTAAGATCACCCCTTCACGCGCTTCTCCCAAGGAGGAGCCATGAACACCCACCAGACCCAGTGAACACAGGCTGGGGTGAGCACCCATCACAACATAACTGGGTGGGGGGGCACCCACCCGACCCACCCGCCCAGATCCCAGATCCCAGACCCCAGTCGGCGGTGCGGCGACAACACCTCGATTCAGGCATAAAGGCAGGAAAATGTCACTCCCAACTCCACCAGCCGCCCGCCCCGGGGCCGAGCTCACCGCCTCGGATCCCTCCACTCAAGGACGGAGCGCCAGCCCCGCGCCGCGCCTGGGCAGAGGTGAGGGAGCCCCCATTTCTGGGAGCAGGGAGCCATCGCCCTCAGCTACAGCCCCGAGCGGGTCACCGCCCCCCAGCCAGGCCCCGCCGAGGTCACGGGCGCTGACAGCCCCGGAGCCCCCTCCCCCTCGCCGACGCCGCCTCGCTCGGCCCCTCGCACCCGCTCCCCGCACACACCCTCCCCTACCTGATATGGCGGCGGCGGCTCCTGGTCCGGCTCCGTCCCTTCGCCGAAACTAGCCCGGTCGGACTGAGACTCGTGGAGCAGAGAGATGTCATCCGAAGTGGGGGATTTGAGGCAGTTCCCCATCTTCCGAGGCTAGGGTGTGTGATCTGGGGGTGAGGGGAGGGTGGGGGGTAAGCAGTGGCGGGGTCTTTCGTCAGCTCCGCGGTCAGCCGCGGTCAGCGAGGAGGGGTCGGCGGCAGGCCGGGGTTCACGCGGCGGCTCCCCCGCCCCCCGGCGCCGCCGAAGCGCCGCTCATGCCAGCCCGCTGGTCTGAGGGTCAGGGATGGTCTGCGAGCGCCGCTGGGGGGCAACAGGAGCCTACATCCTATGCGGTATGTGGTGTTCAAGGCTGACGAAGAAATGAGAGGATCTTAACTTGCAAAGCTGTGTGGAGATGTAATTAGAAAACGTCTGATTTTATCTTGGTTAAGGTAATGCGCCCGTCAGCGG